CGTAGCTAGCCGGCTGTTGCCTAGCAACCATCCCCACTACGTTAACCTTTACAAGTTAAATACGCATGCGCGATTGGAAACTGTTCTAGTGATGTTGCATTCCATATCGATATAAAAATATCGACTAGTGATTTTTATAATATAAATAGCTGTATTTTTCCTATTTATAAAATATTTAGTTTGTATGATCCTTTCGTAAGTTAAATAATAATATTATTTAAAAAGAATTACAGCGCGGCTTTCTATGATATATTTTTTCTTAATAATTTAGTAATAATAAGTGACTAATACGTAATTCCGTTTTATGAAAGCTACGACGATTCATTTTAGCAAGTGTTTAAGTAGCCTTTTTGACGTACAATGCACAAATAATATTTCTTCCGGTCTAGTTGAAATATGTCACCATTAAACTAATCATGCTGTTCGGATCGACTTCTAAAAATCTATTGCAAACAGAAATGCTCCTATTATTTTCAACATCCTTCCGCTTCACGCTTACATGGTTTTCACACGCTTTGAAAGAAACCTGCAATAGCTCTCTGCTGGTGAAAGCATTACAAGCTTGGGTGGGCGCAATGGAGACAAGGAAAACATTACTATGATCACAAGAGCGCCTAGTAACTGGTGCCCTAAACCTAAAGGCTATCGTGGGCAAAAGCCCATTCTGCCCTTCAATTATCTATATATTTATATTCGAGGTTTTGGACACTGGCCAGAACGTCTAGTAAATATAATACATGTTCAGGAGGGAAATTGCCATCTCCGACTTAATCATACAGATGTGTATGTTAGTCCATCAAGTATTTACACTAATAGAATTTATTGAAGTAATATAGATTTACATAACCAATATTTGTGAAACGTACATTTACTGGTACTTAATTATACTTAATTACAATATTTATTTGTAATAAAAAAACGTTATATTTTGGATAAAACATTAAAAACAACAAAAGCTAGGTTAAACTGATAGTGAAAGAAAACATCGACTCTTGACAACACTAGAATTTGCGCATGCGTATTACGATCTAGTAACTCTATAAAAGGCTCGTCTCGTCTTTGAAAGCTCAGTTACCTCCTAAATATGAATAAGATAAGAGATACAACTGGCGTGGTACATACTCGTATATATATTATATGCACCTCTACGCATGACTATACCTTATGGTAGTGTATGATGTATACATATATGATATTAAGAAATTTTCAATTTGCACTCATTAGAGCAATGTTCAATACAAGAATTAATAAAAGATACATAAATTAATACCACGAATAGTTTCATTTGTTTATTGATTATTCAATTTATTAAATATCATTTATCTAAATGGGGTGTTACAAAGTAAATAATAAATAACGCTACACATTTCCCAAATACGTTTCCCTTTTCCAAGATTGAAACATAATATACCTAATATGATAATATAAACAACTAAGGTTGACAGCGTTGTTTTTTAATTTGCAACTTATTGTTGCCTGCGGTTTTGCTCGCGCGATACGCGGGAGTAAAAAGATCTATAAATATATATATATATATATATATATATATATATATATATATATATATATATATATATTTATTCTTATTCTTTATATATTCTTTATTGCATATTAACAGAGTAACACAGATAATACAGAGAACAATGTGGGCCAATCCCAGAATGTAATCTATGTTCTAGCCAAATTTTATCGAAATCTGTTCAGCGATTTAAATGTGAAACTAAACCAGCTATCATCATACCAAATTTTATCAAAATCCGTCCAGTGGTTTTCTTGTGATTTTACAGACAGACAGACAAAAACTCTAAAAACTTTAGATTCGGCCTCTGTATCGATAATAATGAGTTTTTCAATAAGATTTTCCAAAAACATATTTATTGTACAGATTCGACTCAGTTTGAATTTTATTATATTTATAGATTTAAATACAAATATATACACCCCAGACTTCAATAAGTACTTATAAAAATATTTATTCGGAGCCAACTTCGAACTGTAGCCCTCAGTATAGAGATTATCTTTAATGTATAATCAATACAAGATATAGCAGTTAATAATAATTTATAATACGAGCATTACATTTAGTTCGAACTCAGTGTCTTACATCTGTTAAGCTTTGTTAGGCTTTTTTGTATTATAGAAATATATATTGATACCTAATATTATATGTTATATTTATTATGTGTTATATTTAAAAAAAAACTAAATTTATTTGTGGTATACTTAAATATAATTGGAGTAAAATTGTTGAATAAAATTCCGACAATATGCGAAGTGCACAATAGAATTAAAGTAGTAGCAAGTACTGGACGTTCGGCATTTTATAAAATTGTTTTTTTTTTCGAAAAACGTAAAACATACCTAGGGATGAACCCGGGCAAAGCAAGGGTGAGTCGCTAGTGTAAATTTAACCTTGTTTACTGAAGGGCTTGAAACGAATATTTTACCACCTATTTTTAAAATAAATTTTTATGACATTTTATTGGGTCTATAATTTAATTTTATTGAAAACTAGCTTACAGTTCAAATCATTAATTAAAATTGGCTTTTCCATTCGTAATACTGTTCTTATCACGTTGTATTCAAATACAATTGTCCTTTGAACTAGGAACTATCTCTAGGGTCTTAATTATGTTGTGCTTTTATGTATAAGTTTGTTAAGCTTAAGTAAATGTGTTTCTGACGTTAAAGAATTTTATATAATACTAACGACTCACTCTCGCTCCGCTCAGGTTCGTCCCTACGTTTAAAGTTTATTATAGATTTCTCAGAGGTGAGATATTTTTCCGCAGTAAAAAGTATCCTATATTTTGGCCCGAATAATTAGCTATCATCATACCAAATTTCATCAAAATCTGCAGACTGGTTTTCTTGTGATGCGTTCCTAGACAGACAAACTGACAAAAAATCAAAAAAATATAGATGCGGCTTCTGTATCCATAATAATGACTATTTCAATAAGATTTTTCCAAAAACTATTTAATGCACGTTTTGACTCAGAATTTTATAATAATATATAAATATATCGATAAGGAGGACGGTGCACGTGATAACTAATAAAACATTTTATGCATGTATACAGTTTTTGTGTCGTTTTATGCAAGTAATATTGGCATAGACAATGATCGCATCACAAAGAGATTGTATCGGACGCATCGCATCAAATTATGATCGATTGACAAAGACACCCTGAGGGAGAAATAATTTTCGTGAACCGAATAATAAAATTTCAACCCACAGCTATGTACGTGTTGTTCATGGTGTCACAAAAAATGCTAATCGTATTTTCTCTAACGCTCAATCTAGCGACTTGTGAAGGATATGTGTCTATACTTTCTATACTAATACAGAGGCAGACTTCGTTTGTTTGTTTGTTTGAACGCGCTAATCTCAGAAAATACTAATCCTATTTGAAAAATACTTTTTGCATTAGATAGCCCGTTTATTGAGGAATGTTATAAACTATATGTCATTCCGGATAAATGTACGGCTCCCGTGACATAGATTTGTTTTTGTCTAGAGACGAAAAAAAACGCTTGAAGCGAAGCGTTGTAGGCAATAATCTCTGGATCTACTAAACCGATTTAAATGAAATTTGGTAAGCAGATAGTTTGAGACCCTGGGAAAGACATAGGATACTTAGGAACTTTTTACCCCGGAAATCATCCCTTAAGGGAGTGAAAATGGGGATGAAAGTTGGTTTTGGGAAGCCAGCTAGGAACAAACCCGAGCGAAGCGAGGGTGAGTCGCTAGTATTATGTAAAATTGTTATAGCACTCACTGACTGACTCACAAACTGATTACGAAATTTTAAATCTATTAGGTTCAAGCAATTTTGTTTTAAATGAAAGTTTATATACAGAATGTTTGGGATTGAGTTGGATTCTATAATATGACCATCCATTTTCAATTATACAGACTAATATTATATATATGAAAGTAACTCTGTCTGACGTCTATTTGTTTTTCATGCTTAACCCTCTGCAGAGATTTCGATATTGGCAATAAGAAAGACCATATCAAGACTTCTTTTAAATAGCACAATTTAATAAGCTAAACTACGCATCTTATTACCATTTTCATAAAAAAATATACACGAACATCACAAAGTACACTCACATTAACAAAACGTTCCAGACGTGTAAGACTAATGAATAAATAGAAATTGCGAATACTGCTTTATACTTTTCAAAATATGCTCCGACTAATCACTTAACATTGTGATACATTTTGTATGTTTGTCTTTTAATATCCTTCTTTTCCTTTTTTTTTGTGACCGATTTTAAAAAAGGAGAATCTATTTTACATTTTTTTTTTGTTTTTTATATATAAATAAATTATACCTTTGTATTTTTTATTTTACCCCCAGGGGTAATTTTCATTTTGAAAGTTTTTAGAGTTGGTGTACCTTTTTAATATAAAATTTAATTATTTTATGTATCACAATATATGTAATTCCTATGACACTAATATCTACCGTGACATACAGCTTATAATATGAAAGAATAAAGGTCTCATTACTCAGTGCCTGCGCCAAACAGGGGCGGTTCGCTAGTGTAATATAGTACATAACCCAATAGATGGATGTACATCCATACTAATATTATAAATGCAAAAGTAACTACATATATCTGTTTGTTTGTTACGCTTTCACGCATAAACCGCTAAACCTATTTTTTTCTTAAGGGATAGATTGGTCCGTGGACATCATAGGCTAGTTTTTTCGCAGAAATAAAACTTGAAGGGGGTAAAACAGGGTATGAAAGTTTATATGGGGAACCCATGATTTCTAAAGTTTAAACTATAAAAACTTATTTATATGTTTGTAAGATATAGTGTTACAGCGTCGAAAGGCTTGAGAGAGACATGGGTACGCTCTTACTTCTCGTTACTACGGAATTGGATGAAATTTAGCATATAGATAGACTTTGACCTAGACCTAACACCCTATGTGCCTACCCTATTAATGCTAGGTATTTAGAAAACTAAATAAATAATTAAAGTACCTTCTGTTTATCCAGCTGCTGAAGGATATCGTCGACATCGCCGACGGCCACCGGCTGAGCCCGCAACATGTCCACTTCCACCGACAACCAGTCTCTGATCTAGAAAAGAAATGGAAGTTAAAAAAATATACTTAGTAAAATATTCTTTTATATTATAAAGAAAACGTCTATATATAAAAATAAATGCAATATTTCTTTGCACTGTATTGGCACTAAAACTATACATACGGCTAAATACTTTTACCTTACGTAAACGTACGAACGTAATGTGTGTGTGTGTTTTGTTACTTCACGCTTATACCTTAACGATTAAAAAATATACAACAATGTAAATTGAACCTTAAATGCAATTATTGAAGTTGTTTTCACAAAAAAAAATTAAACGCGCTCAAATGTTCAAATGAGCGCTCATTCGGTGAGGACATTTTTTGTCGCTGATTGTGTATCTAGTACTTTTTTGATCGATGTTATACATGCATTAGGTACTTTTTGGTTGCGCTCCCTATTCAGTGTATTTTGGCAGTTTCTATGTAAACTAGCTAAAAATTTACGTGTAAATTACACTTTTCTTTCGTTTTTTATTACACATTTTCAGTTTTATGAAACTCCTTTTTTATTCGCGTATATTTCTGCTTTTTCCGACGTTTCAAATACTACAGTAGTTAGTCTACGTCGACTAACGAGTAAAATCCGTTAAATATAAATAAAATAATTTCATTTCCTAAGTGCAATTTACAACGTTTGTAATTAATATACATGTAGATTTAATTATATAAATATTGAATAGTTTTATTAATTGTTATTACTGAGGTAATCACACACAGTTAGACGGTCATTTAAATTGTATTTTAAATGTAATAAAAGAAATTCAAAACTAAAGAAAAAACGTAAAATATACCATAATCATCTTCGATTTAGGCTCGTTTGGAGGAGTCCTATACATTACAGTTGGTCAAGAGCGTGTATGTTTGTTTTTTTTTATTCTAAGTATTGTAAAGACACAGAAAGACGGAGAGGTAGATACGTTACACATAGATACTTTTAAAGTTACGGAAAGTAAATAACATAGAAGAAACTTTGTAATAAACTCCAATATTTCTTCATCATCCCAAATACAAGATTGTTCTGACATGAAGCTGATCGATCAATTTCTTATCGAAAGGAAATCTAAACACTATTTCGCTTTAACCCAAACGTATTTTCCGTTAACAATAAAGCTATCCTAAAAACTCAATATATATCGGGTTTCAATAACAATATATGGGAAACAATATCGTCAAGGCACGCTCGTAGTCTTCGCGGCCGGTCATCTGGGACCGCAGTTACCCGGGAGCCTGGAATACCAACCATTCTGAATACTGATTTATAAGCCTACACAACTGAAAAATAGGGGTAGAAATACTCCTTTCTAAACAATTAATATTATTGTCATGTATCTAGCGTCATTTAATTATTAATTTATTTTCTTATTATATGTGGAGTTGTTATATCAGTCGTGCTAAAATATGAAAATTTATTTAGCACTTATATTATTTAATTGAATTTTGATTTAATTTGTTTATTTTCCTATCATAAAAAGCTTTACAAAACAAACTTACAACAAACAAACATTTTTATGTAAGCTTAACGAACGATATTAATTATTTTGAAGAAAAATATTATTAGAATTAGTAAAAAATAATTACATTTTGGATCTCAAACAGAACAACAGTGGTAGTTCATTGGCGTCGCGCTTGCTCGGGTAACCAAGTGCAGCGAATGTGAATCTTGCACATAATATATTACAACAAATGTATATTACAACAACTACCTAGAAAGTTTTCAGTTCGACTAAAATATAATAAATTCCCGTATGTTTACAGCGTTTCTACAAAATGGTTTCGAGGAACGCCGCTCGTTTGCAGGGTGAAGGTTGCGCTATTTGGGCGCCGTGATTTAGATTAAAAACATATTGATTCTGTGTCGCGGTACAATGGTGACGTGTTTCGGTAACGACTTCGTCAATGGGTCCCTTGTCGTTTCCTTGTTTTGGTTCAACATCATTAACAGTACACAATCTACAGGTTTATAGAAAAATCGATGTGTGTATGTATGTACGTATGTTCCATATAGACTCCAAAATAGTTGAACCGATTGTGATGAAATTTTCAGGCAACCTTCAGATTAGCCCTGCTGGTGAACCTGTGAAGTTTGATAGCGATCGGAAGTTTGTACGCGAGTGAAGCCGCGCGTACTGCTAGTCAAGTGTCTAACTTTCATAGAATATTAATATACTATAAAAAATAAATAACTTTTTAAATTGAATGCAGATTTCAATTGAATATTATTGTTATTAACTGTTTACTAATAACAAAAGATTATCGATAAGTAATATGAAATTGTCACCATGCAAAGTACAAAATTTTATCTCAATGTAGAGTTAATTTAAAAAGAGAAATTCATTTTCTCGTACTTTTAACGTCAAAATTGCTACAATAATGAGTTAAAATGTTGTTCCTTGCTTTAAAACGGCTTTTCCTGTCTGATTCTTCAACGCCAAGATCTTATCAGTGAATCAAAAGAAATTATATTTGACAACGTATTTCTATAATGACGAGAATGGACTAAGAAGAGATTTTTTAGAGATCTACCCTCAAAATGGGGTGTAAATTTTATCCAATTAAATACAATATTTTGCGTTAATTTTACTAGAAACTATATAAATTATAATTTGACACATTAAATACATATTTCGGTCTTTTCATAATTCAATCCGATAAGGTATAAAGATGGATGGATAAAGGGGCTAAAGAAGGCATAAAATGTTGAGGAAATTTTAAATTAATAAAGATACCGTATAAAGCCGGGGCAGATCGCTAGTATCCATGTGAAATCTATATCTTTCTCTATAGCTTTATTTTTCTATAGCTTTCGTAAATAATAAGAATTTTCATATATACCCTGGAATTGACTATAGAGGAGATGTGTCTAATAATGTCAAATACATTGCGAATTCCAACTTTTTTGTTACAAAAAGCCAATATGCCGTTTTATTTTACTATTTATATTACACTAGTGACTCACCCTCGCTCCGCTCGGGTTCCTCCCTGAATATATTTTAACTATTTGTATAGATTTCTCAGAGATGATATATTTTCCCGCAGTAAAAACTACTCTATTTATTGACCCGGATACCTAGCTATCATAATACCAAATTTCATCAAAATCTGTCCAGTGGTTTTTTCGTGATGCGTTTCCAGACAGACGGACAAAAAATCTTAAAACTATAGATTCGGCCTCTGTATCGATAATATTGACTATTTCAATAGGAATTTCCAAAAAAAATAATTAGGTACAGATTTGACTCAGAATTTTATTGTATGTACTATAGACTGTAGATCCAGCCAAGCGTTGCTGTGGCACACATATAAAAATCGCTAATTTTGCAATAAAAATAGGAATAAATGGGATAAAAACTATTCTACCTTTTAAGTTGGAACAAATCACATATTTTGAAAAAAAATACGTTAATATCGGATAAGTAGTTTCAGAGATCATCACGGAACAACATCGTGACACAAGAATTTCATATATTAGGATTATCTATTGAGCTACCTACAATTTAAATATTACGTATTTTAAAAAGTATAAAACAATTTCTCGTATATCTGTTTGTGTGCTCATTGTGCTGAGCTACTCAACAAATTATTCATATACTAATTACATAATATTATATTTATAGAAATTAAAGTCGATGTTTTGTATGTATAAAATTTTTTAAACGTGACAAAAACCACTAACACTTTCGTAGTACCAGTTCTATTAAAATAATAGGTTTTTAAATGGTAAAATAAATGAAAATAATTAAGACACTTTGAAATGAGTATCTTGAAGTAGACTATAATCTATTATAATATAAAAATATATTATAATTATAATGTATTATCGCTTCTCGTTACAAAACTACACATTCATACCAAGGAGTGTTATTACACTATCAATTATACAGCAAGTATTACCTGCATAGGTATTTTTTATTTTGGTTAAATGAGGAATATTTGACATGCGATACTTAATTACACGGAAAATCAACTAACGGGCGAGTGTACAAATATTATTATTTTTTAATTTTGCTTATCTATAATTAACATTTATAAGCTTATTTTGTATTTAAATTAAAAATTTAACAAAACATTCTTATGAGAAAACTATTTAATGCTAAATAGAAAAAAATTAAACTATTCAGTTCTTCGAAACTTCTTGCAATACTTAAAATAAAACAGAATTGTAGAAATGATATTTTTGAGCTTTAAAAGCTTTTTTCCAAAGTTTTGTAACAAAACCGTACCTGTTTAACAAGAAAAGCTTCAAAACATCTATTTTAAAGGCAACATTTTCAAGGTCAAGAGTCTTCAAGGAGCTTTATTCAAACCGAAGCACATTTTAAACTTATTTCTAGTATAAAACGAATAAGTCTAGAACATTTACTTAACAAATCCGGTCTTAAAGGGGAATTGAATGGGCGCAGGTCGTGCTCACTGAATTTTCTATTGAATTAATTTTGTTTAGGCCCCTTTTGCATATAGTGTCTTAAATATAAATATTGCCTGCATTTGAAATTTTGCATTTATTAAACAATATTGATATCGATATTACATATATTGTAAGCCTTATTTTTTTTATAGGTGAGTTAATTTGTGTAAAACTAATGTTGCTTCTAACCGATTTTGCCGACTTTCATGAATTTTGCCAATCTTACTGAGACAAGCTATGAACGCAGAATATATTATAGTGCATAAATATACATACGTGCAAACACAAGTGCACTCTCTATTCCCTGCTGACTCTTAAAGACCAATGACGACAAATCGACACAACCGGTAGTCGATCAGGCCCACGACCCACACTTTTACGTGCTCTCCGAGGCTCTCGTGGTGTAAGTAAGACTCCTGGTTTTTACTGAGAATTTCTTAACAAAAAATAATATTAAATATTTGGCCCGACTTAGAACTCGAACCATGACCTCCGTGATGTGTAGCCGTACACACTAACCACTAGACCAATGTTTGTCAAATATATCTATCTATATGTAAATAAATTCTTAATGCATTCTAGGCCTTATAAGAAATGCTTTAAACGTTAGGTTTAGAGTCTTCCTTACAGCTCTTCAGTGCCCCTTGATTACCCAACTAATCTTGTTTTACTATTTTTTTCATTCTATAACGTTTCACGTATTCACGTTTAATGAAATATTTTGTGACACTACTATTATAAATGCAAAAATTTGTATGTGTGTATGTTTGTTTCACTTTCACGCTGAAATGGCTTTTCTTATTTGGATGAAATTTCATATACAGAATACTATGACCAGTAGCACATAGGCCAATGTTAGTGATAAAATTTGTCAAAAGGTGGCGCTTTCTATATATCTATACTAATATGATAAAGAGATAAAGTTTGTTAGTTCGTTCGTTTTTTTGCTTGTTTATTTATTTGAATGCGCTAATCTCAGGAACTACTAATCCGATTTGAAAAGTTCTTGTTGCATTAGACAGCCCGTTTATTGAAGGCTATATATCATATAATATATAGTCTGTCTATTCCATACGAACCGTTAAAACGTACCTAGTAAAATAAACACAAAAAGCACCAAGGGACGCTATATTAACAAAATGGATTTAAATATGAACTCGTTCATAGATTGCTTTCGCGTTATTTATTTAATTTTCAATGTAGCATTGGTTTCGCTTCTGTATATATTATAAATGAAAAAAAATTATATGTGTGTATGTACATATATGTATGTTACTGTTTTATGTTAAAACGACTGAAAGGATTTGATTAAAATTTAGTACACAGACTATGAGCTGAAGTAAAACATACGTTAGGTGTCTAAAGAGGCCCCCCCAACGTGCGTTCACCTTGTCGTGGTGGGGGGGCTCAGTAGTGTACTCACGAAGCCAAGAAACGCACAGGGAGGTGGCCCGCTTCGGTGGGCGGTGGGAGGCGGCCTTCTTCGGAGGGTGGTATACCATGCGGGTTGCTCCTGGTACTTCTCTGATAGCAGAGTGGACCGTGGAGCAACCCCGTGGTTGTTGTGGTCTGCTTCGGCAGACCTGCCGTCGGGGCGTCGTAGTTGAATGCGTAAGCGATCCTGCGACGCCCCATTAAGACGGGGGAAGGTTTTGTTGGGTTTTAGTGGGTAGTACTGGCTTCGCCGGTGAGTCCCACACTTCGTGCGTAAATGCATTTCCCAACGTTAAAAAAAAAAGGTGTCTAAAGAGGCAGCCGAACTAATATAAGTTTGCTCGTCCATACTTAATATTATAAATGTGAAAGTGTGTGTTTATTTGTCCTGCTTTCACGTCAAAACAGAATGACAGATTGCGTGTTGCGTGATTTTTTGTGTGGAGGTAGCTGGAGGGCTGAAGAGTGAGATAGGCTACTTTTTACCACTGGCGATTATGTCATTCCCACGGGAAAACACGTTATAATACAACCCACAACAACTCATCATACCTAGGTATATATAATATATATAGTATATCTATTCCATACTAATCGTTATAATAAAGGTAAAAAATATATAAAGTCTATTCAACGGTATTCTTTATATTAGACCGTTAAAAATATATAATCTGGAGTATAAAAGTTTTTTAAAGGTTTCCAAGGCTTCTTCAGATCAAAGAAAAATTTCAATAAAATGAATTAATCTCTTCATTAGATTTCAGAGTGGATTAAATCTTAAGTGCTTGTAAGAGAATTAAAAGTATACCTATATTTTGATTTTTCTTACTTTATAATAGTTTCCAAAAAAAGACTAACAACTGGCCTTCGCTTTGTTTCAGTGCCACTACATTTGGTGCGAAAAACCCGTGACTGCTTTATCCTATCCTGCAGATTTTTTTTCATTTTATCAGGATAAAAGACCTTATCAGGAGCGGAATATTTCTAAAAAATAAGGAGTTTCGTTAAATTCAACTCAATTTTTAGAAACAAATATTAAAATGAATTAACAAATGCCGAATATATCGCTTAATACAAACAATAAACATATTTCGAGTACCTCGACTTTTTGGAAGTTGATAAGCAATTCGATAAATTTTTAAGTCCAAGAGAGACTTTTAAAAAAGCTTCACATTTTTGTAATGATTGTTAGATACAGATGCCTCTTCATGAATATTATTTTTATTCAGTCTTAAATTAAAATTCTCCTGGCACAATTTTGTTCGTCTCTAAATATTTATAAATACAAAAATAATATTCTCCAGAGACGGAGAATATACAAATATGATATTACAAAAGGCAAAGTAAAAAAAAGTTACATAGGTGATAGAAGTCGAAATAAAAGTTCGTCATTTCCGATATTATATTTCTTATATGGAAGGTTTTGTTTGTATTGCCGACAGGTTGTCCCAATGGTTCATATAGAGTGTTGTTAATTTTAAAATAAATAAGAAAAAGATTACTTTGCTTTTTGCTTACATTGCCGTAACGCTAGAACCTGTCAAACATGGTGACAATTTGGCAAGCTTGTATTTAATATATTGGTGATTTATACTTATGCTACGTTTTATCTCTACACGTATTCAACTCTTTTCAATGTCCCACTGTTGGGCACAGGGCTCCCTTCAATATGAGGAGGATCAGGCTATTGTCGCTTGCCAAATGTGGGTTGGCGGACTACACATGTTTTTCGCAAACTTACTAAATTCTCTCAGACATGCAGGTTTCCTCACCATGTTCTCCTTCACCGTAAGGCATGGTTGCATGACCACGATTGATTTAAATCATTCGAAATGTCAGGAACCAAAAATCAAAATAAATCCGCGAAAAAATCCAAAAAAGATAATTTTATTTAAAACTAATTTCAATTTGTTAACGAATAATAATTAAGTAGAAGTACTATAAAATTCAAAAGTGAATACAACATAATAAAAACATATCGTAAAATTGCACATTTAGATATTTTAATAAAAGACAAGAGTTCGAAGTTCAAGGATAGCATTATGCACATATTTTTGCGTAACGGCCTAAAGAAACTTCCACAAAATTTAATGTTTTACCAACCCTTTGTGAAATTGCGCGGAACAAACAAATGTAGTGAAAGATATTATTACAGTATACAGCGACTAAGAAGATATAAATGTTTATTATTTCATTCTATTCTAAGGTAAATGTTAACTGCATTATAGAAGAAAATAAAGATGCCTAAAATATATTTAAACTAGCGGGTTCGACGCTATGTACGTTTTAAATAGATATAAATAGTTATTAGCTAGCGTTAGCCATATAATTGATTATGTGAATTTTTCCGATGTTTTAATACTTATTATTCTATTCCGGACTAAGAGAAATCCAAAAAATCGAATATCATAAAAATTGGTCCAGCCGTTCTTGAGTTATAAATGGTGTAACTAACACGACTTTGTTTTATATATATTATATTTAAATTTTTTCTTTCATAAGAACCTTCTCCTGACAATAACAAATACAACAAAAAAAATAGTTAAATCGGTCCAGCCGTTCACGTGTGATGGCGTGACCAAGGGAAATAGGGACTCATTTTTATATATATACTAGATAAAGATGTTTTTGAAGCTTAGTACATGAATGATACTTTAAGTAGAAAACCGATATATTTTTTCTCTTGTTGTCCTTATAATATACTACGTGAATTGGTTACAACATGCTTTCTCTATCATTTTCCACTTTTAATATCTCTTACCTGCAAGGCACTAGTGTCGAAGTGCGCGAGCAGCGCGGCGGGCGAGCTCTGCGACGAGCGACGCCGCGACCCCACCCGCGCACTCCACTCTGAAATAACAAAAAAACCATTATTAATATCAAATATGTACTAGTTATGGCCCGCGACTCTACTCGTGTAGGCAGGTAGATGGAAAACATCCAACTACTATTTGTGAAGTTCTCTTTGTAAGGGTTCAGTAACGTCCGGCAATCCAGCCGGGCGTGTTGCTAAGAGACGCAATGAAAGGTCGTGAGTGGTGATACTTTTGGGATAGCAGTGTAGACCGTGATAAACTAACTCCATCGCTTTCACGCAAATAAGTTGAGCCGTTGTAGCGTGAGAAGTAACAAAAACATACGTAAACATTTGTAATTTTAATATTAGTGTCATTTTAAATTTTACCGTATAAGCTCTTCGTATTGATAAAAACTACTGTCCTGTAAAAAGAATGAGAAAATTTGAGTACTAAAAATCGCTTACAATAAACAATACAATGTTGTTCCAAGCTGGCGATATTCTTGTAACTGAATTTTTAGTCTATGGCCTGAAGTAAGGATAAAAAGCACTAATGATTAGAACCGAACGAAGCGAGGGTAAAAAGCTAGTAAGAAATAAAGTGTAATCAAAACTTTTTATTGAAAAAAAAATACTAACTTATTTAAAATAAAAATTCTACATTTCTTAATCCATGGTACCGTAACAAACTCCAAACACGAGTTAGTAAAAGTTTACATAAGCAAAGGAAGCCAAAAGTTGTTAACACAATTACACGTACCAGTGGAAGACGACTCGAAACTTGTTGATACCCTACTACTATGTATTATGTAACTCTATTTCAATAAAAGAAAACTTCTTACTGTGAGCTTTGTTAAAGAAAGAATAGAATTCTTTGTAATCTATAAATATAGGGTCCCCAAAGCTTTTAAGAGCTTATTGCTGTCCTATGAAAGTTTCATATATACCAAGATAACAAATTATTATCTTTGCATAAACTTTCTCAAAAAATACACCGACTTCAAATTTAGTTTCAGTGTCTTCCATCAATTATTTCATCCATTAGAGGTTGATTTTTTGTTAATATTTATCTAAGACTACCCTCGATGTGTAATTGATTAACTAAAGAGAGAATCATAACATCGGTTCAAAACTGACACATTGGGATACACACAAAAACCCCACTCGAATTGAGGACCCCTGCTTGTCTGAAGTCGGTCAAAAATACACAAATTAGTAAAGATGCATGTCACCAGCTAAATATGAAACAAAAAATAATCCGATTAATTTGTGTAATTAAAATCGATATCTCGCATGACACGATAAAATAAGCAGGGCAATTGATTTACGTCAAAATCGATTTCGCCTATAACTCGATTACTTCACGCTCTGAACTCCTTTTAAATGTATCTGCTAATAACTTACCCTTGCAGTGACTTGTCAGAATTCAAACAGTCTACTAAAGGTGCTTTACCTGCCAGGAAAGTATTTTTACTAAAATTGTAAACGTGAAAATATTTTTGTTTCTTTGTCCTCCTTTCACGCAGCGTGAAACCACGTATCAACATAAATTTTTTCTATAGTTCAAATAGTTTATAGTTTCCACAACGACTACTATTTATATCAGTACATCGCATGGTTCCCGTAAAATGTTATGGCGCGCTGTTAGAGAATTTTGCTGTGTTGTTTAATTTATCTATTCTAATATTATAAAGAGGAAAAATTTGTTTTTTGTCTTTTTGTTTGTATCGAATAGGCTCCGAAACTAACCGTTTTAAATGACATTTGGTAAGAAAATAGCTTGAGACCCTGGGAAGGACATAGGATAATTTTTATTCCGGAAATCACCCATAAAGGTGAAAATGGGGGCGAAAGTTTGTATAGGGAAGCAACCTACAACTAAATATGTTATTCTAGATTTAAGATGAAATGCGATAGACTTTAAAGTACTCAAATATTTTTTTTCTTAATTATTTTGTTTTAAGTTGTAACATCAGTATTACAATTAACTAAAAATAACTGCAGTAGGGTTTGCAACACAAATTTTAACAATAAACTCTCAATCACTTTTAAGCTAATCAACCCAAAAGTATTTAACAGAGTTAAGACTATTAGCACATAATCGGGTACATCCCCGTTATCCTCTTCCTAAAGCTCGTTAATGAAGGATCCAAACCCTTTTCGAATGCATTTGGATTAGTGTGGATGCGCTGACTAGATGTTGGACTAGTAATATGTTTACTTAATATTTTAAAACCAATGTTGTTTATTTTATTAAAACGTACTTACGTTTTTTATTATAAAATGCAATAATGTGATTGAATCCTGTCCAATGGCTAATAATTAGTAAAACTTTTAATTTTTGCCTAATTTCATAAGAATTATGTTATTACAAGCTTTTATTTAACTTGTTTTAGTTTTACAGTAACATACGTTTGGTCAGGTCAGAAATGCCTCCCCCCCAACGTGCGTTCACCTTGTCGTGGTGGGGGGGCTCAGTAGCAGTAGCGAAGCTAAGAAACGCACAGGGAGGTTGCCCACTTCGGTGGGCGGTGGGAGGTGGCCCTCTTCGGAGGGCGGTGTACCATGCGGGTTGCTCCTGGTACTTCTCTGATAGCAGAGTGGACTGTGGAGCAACCCCATGGTTGTGGTGGTCTGCTTCGGCGGACCTGCCGTCGGGGCGTCGTAGTTGAATGCGTAAGCAATCCTGCGACGCCCCATTAAGACGGGGGAAGGTTTTGTTGGGTTTTAGTGGGTAGTACTGGCTGTATTACGCCGGTGAGTCCCACACGTCGTGCGTAAGTGCATTTCCCAACGTTAAAGAAAAAAAAAAAAGGTCAGAAATGCCTACAAACACAACGGTCGTCGGCTACGAAGTAGTCCGATGTTTGATTCTCACAACAGACAATATCTATTTGTATACCCTCGCTATATATCTATTTAAAATTTATTTAATTTCAGTACCAGTATACCTACAGGTAAAAATATAGTTGTAACTTTATCTAATACGTATAAATTGTTAAAAAAACAACCTATGATATTATATTAAAGAACGTTAAAGTTAAATTATTACCAAATATAATTTTATTTTCAACCGACTTCAAAAAGGAGGAGGTTCTCAATTCGACTGTATGTTTTTTTTTTTTTTTTTTTTTATGTTTGTTACCTCAGAACTCCGTCATTTATTAACCGATTTGGAAAATTTTTGTTTTGTTTGAAAGGGTATACTTCCAGATTGGTCCCATTTTAATTTCAAAAAAAAATACCACCCCTAAGGGTGGAAAAACAACTAATGATGAATTTAACCTACTTCTAATTGTCATATTGACTTGAAACTTTGCAAGTATTTCTATTTCCGTTGATAGTACAGTGGTTCGGTATTGTTGACCTGATCTGATGGCAAGGCCAGAAGGTGGATAGGTGGAACTCTTCAACGGCTAATAGTAGATACTTTGAGTTTGGGCTTATTTTAATTGATTTGACAAGCCTAACACGTTAGAATTCTTACTGTGTTACTACTGTCTACACTAAAAAGGGAAAAATAAAAACTTTTTAACAAAAAATAAAAACCGACTTCAAACAAAAGCACTAAAAAGTAAAAAATAACTGATTGGTAGTTTTCATTTACTATACATACCTAATCAAATATTTTCGAAGTCGGTGTGCTTTGGCTAAGTAATTAAAGCCTACCTATTAAATACATACCTACTCAAATATTTTCGAAATCGGTGCCAGCCCATACAAAGCAAAGCACACCGACTTCGAAAATATTTGATTAGGTATGTATAGTAAATGAAAACTACCAATCAGTTATTTTTTACTTTTTAGTGCTTTTGTTTGAAGTCGGTTTTTATTTTTTTTTTTAAAAGTTTTTTATATGAAACTGAAATAACAATTACAGTGAATAATAAAATCACGGTAATGTTACATAAACATTACCGTGATAAAATAGTATCTAGGCGACTGCGCTTCGCTCGGCGTTTTTTTTATAAAATCGTGTGTTTTTTTCGGAAAAGATATAAAAAATGTACTTTTTCAGAAAATACACCTACCTATATAGGTAAAAAAGTTAGAGCCGTTTTCGAGATACACAAAATAAATTAACATATAGATATACATACATGTGTGTATTATGCATGAATTGCTCATTTAACATTATAAGATAAAATAACCCCAATTGGGTATATCCATAATCCATCTTTTTCCTACTGCCGATTGACAAAGGACGAATCTGAGCCCATTACTCGCTCGTGTTTGGATAACAGTGGATACGCCATTAAGCTTTGAATAATATCCTTAGAATTAACACATACTATTCTTGTTTACTCACAGTATAAAACCGTAGCTTTAGATAGGAAGTTAAGTTAAAATGTAATTTGTCTATGTTTTTAAGTCAAAGTGCATTTTCAAATTCAAAATATTTTATTTAGCATTAAATTATAACATTTTTTTACCGAACGTCATGAGTCTACTACCAGTTCGGAGAAGAAGCCTCAGACCTGAGAACTGGCGAAAGAAACTCAGCGAAACTAATATTATTTCGTTATCTTTTTTGTAAGTTACATTATAATTTACAATATTTCTGTAAAGTTGAAGGAATTTGGAGGCGATCACTTCAATCCCAAGGCGTACATTTTCTGTAGATGTTTTTAAAACCACATTCTTATGTTCTCAATTGGGAACAAAACCACGTGTGCGTGAGAGTCTTTACGTGCGAGTGTGTGTGAGAGCATTTATACACGTATGAGTGTTTGTGACAGAGAAAAAGAGAGATAGAGAGAAAGAAGGTGAGATAGAGAGAGTGAAGGAGAGAGCGAAGGAGAGAGAGAGGCATAATGTGCGTTTGTGTGAGCACATTTGTTACATTAAGTGGACAAAACTAGTATATACAAGAATATTATAATACCTAAGTAGTAATAGAGTTTTCATGTCACTACATATTGCTCATTCGCTAATACGATTAACGATGTGTGAATTTGATCCCATTGTGTATGGATTCGGATTACAAAGATTAGGCTTTGTTAGACATGAATAAAGCTTATCATTTGTTGAAAGACAACGTCACAAAATTCATTCTTAAGATATAGCAGTCGGTGTGCCTTTTTGGTTAAAACGTTTTCAGTTATATTTTCAACTACATTTTCCCGCGGTTCCGTTCACGTAGTCTATTTATGTAAAACTGTTTTGATCCTAAAAGTCGTAGAGTGGCGTTAAACGCTTCTCAGGAATTGGGCTACCAAATACAAAAAATATTTTTCAAATCCGACTGGTAACTAAAAAATCTCTCAGCATTATTACATTGAAGTATTACATACAAAATATTTAATATTATTTAGAAATAATACAGGTTTAGACCAAACAGTGGTTTGGTAAACAATAAATCATATCTATCTATATGTTGTTATAAAATGTTGTACAAGCCTTTAATTTAGAGTAATATACAAAAGAGAAATTGGTTAACGTTATTTTAGTTACTAAGTTTGTGTATGTACTCTAGTTGGTAAGCCTTATTCAATAAATAAATAAATATAAATGAATCACCGAAATATATGTACACGCATAACTTCCGATCGACTGCACCAAATTGGACAATTTAATTTTTTTTGTTCTTTATTGTCAGGACATAGGCAGTGGTAGCCCAGTGGTAACACGCTCGCTTGGGACACCGAGTGAAGCGGGTTCAAATCCCGGGTCTCGCACCTCTGATATTTTCATGTGCGAATCATTTCTAACATGATTACCGCTTGCCTTACGGTAAAGGAAAACATCGTGAGGAAACCTGCATGTCTGAGAGAACCTAGCAAGTTTTCGAAAGACATGTGAAGTCCGCAAACCCGCACTTGGCCAGCATGGTGGCTATGGCCTGATCCCCCCACGTATTGAAGGGAGGCCCGTGCCCAGCAGTGGGACATTAAAAAGGGCTGAATACATTGTCAGGACAAGCTTTGTATAGTATATAATTAAAAGTTTTTTTTTTACTAAAATAAGATTTTTTTAAGTCTCATGATAAGAAAAGTGAGTGAGTGAAATAGTTTTTTCTCTTGGTGAGAATGGGGATGAAAGTTTGTATAGGGAAGCACGCTAGCGACGAACCCGAGCGAAACGAGGGTGAGTCGCTAGTATTACATTAAAATACGTCACCGTATTTTAAAGTGCGGCATAAAAAAGGATGTGTTAACGGACGAATTTACTGTTAACAAAGTTTCATGGTATTTCATAATTCATACATATATTATACGTGAAAATGTATATAATTTAGTATTCTAATTAATTTTTGTAGGTATACCAAATCACAATTTGTCATATTTTAACGTCCCTATGCTGGACAAGGATAATACAATGTGAAGGAATGAGGCCATAGTCCACCACGCTGGCAAAGTCAGAGTTGCTGGACTTCCAATGGTGACTTTAAGTTTGGAAGGATTTGGATAAAATTTGGTACACAGATAGACTAACTTAAAATTTCCCTAAAAGTGACGCTGCCTCTATATAAAATTTATTTATTATCTAAACCAGAAGACTCCTAGGAACGCATACGCATGAAGCGAGAGTAAAAAGGAGGCTCTAG